GCACCAAACACTGCAAAACCTCCAGAATACTGAGGTTTCAACACTTGATTATAACTACCGCGACCATTACAGAGTAAACGAGCGATATTCGCTTCACATTATGAACATTTTGAAACATAGGTTACGTCACTGCTAACTCATAAAATTGAGAAATACTGCGATTTTTTTCACAAATATCGCCTGTTTCGGAGAAAAAAGACAAGTGTTAGAAAGAGGAGAAAAAGTTGCATCGGAAGTGACTGAAATGTTTAACATTTTATGGTCCACGAGGTTAAAATAGGCTGAATGTAAAATTTGGTCACTTCAAAAAATAAATCGTAGAAATTCTGAAAGATAAGCCGTAGGGCTACAAAAAATTGCACTAGTTGGCAAAAGGTTCGCCCTATCTGCTGGTTATTGAAGCTTCTCCTAAAGTCTCATACAAAAATTTTGAAAATAAGCGAAATTTGGGCATGGTAAAAACGAGGTAGCAATTCCCAGCAAATATTTCGTCACTCTTGCAACGAAACACGAAGGGAGTTTGCAGCTAAAAAGAAGAAGAAATTCTGCATCGGTTTTGAAGTGTTTGTTTATCTTCATTCTAGCGTGTTTGCAGATGGATTGAAGAAACTGACAAAACTTTTGCACCAACCTAACATATATTAGGTCGTCCCGAAAGTATTTTCGCTTTTTTCAAACAATCGCCACGGTTCGCAGAACGAACATCCTTAGAAGATCCTAAAAGCATTTGATGCAGTTTTTTATGCTCTTTCAAATGGTTATCTTTATATGCAGTCTGACAAACGAGCTCTCAGAAAACTACCAGAAACTGCGACCCACGCTTTTTACCAAGGTCAAGTTTCGCTATTTTTGTAAATTCTTGTACTGATTCTCCGAAGAAGCCCAAGTAACCCGCGGATAGAGCAAACCAAGTAGGATACAAAACAATTTCTTTCTCCTTCCCAGAGCTCTTCATAATTTTTTGGCAAATTTTCAAACAACATTGCCGAATTTTGGCAGATCTATACCAGACGCAGACTCGTCAAACTCCAAGAAATTCTCAGTTTTTGATACTCTTAAAGATAGATTAAGATTCATTACTAATTTTACAAGACAAATGAGCGTTTCCTGGTTCAAAATATCCGATTTTGAATTTTTCGGGTACATCTTGGGGCGCCATCAAAAACATGAATCTTGTCGATTTTGTCCTTTAAAACTTTACGAATCAAAAACAAAAACATGCCTCTGAAAGAGGAGAAGATGCTGCATCGAATAACACCCGAGTTGCTTCCCGAGTGATGCTCTTTGAGGTTTAAGTTGACGAAACATAGAATTCGATGGCATCAAAAAAATATTTCTAAAAATTTTGTAGAATAAGATTTGGAAGGGGCGAAAATGGTTTTTTATCCTACTTTGTTTGCTCTATTTGAAGGTCACTTGAACTCCTTCGGGAAATTACTACAGGAATTTAGAAAAATACCGGAAATTGACTAGGGCAAAAATTATGGGTTGCAGTTTTTGGTCATTCTCTAAGAACTCGTTTGTTGAACTGCAATGTGAAGACGACCATTTGAAAGAGCATAAGAAACTGCATCGAACGGTTTCAAGATCTTCCAAGGATGCTTGTTCTGCGGACCGTGGCGATTGTTTGAAAAAGCGAAAATACTTTCAGGACGACCCAATATACAGGGTGTCCCAAAAAATGTTTAGAACGTTTGATCGTTAATATCTCTCTTCCCAAGAAGTCTTTTGCCTTGCTTCAGGTACCGTTTTGTAGAGCTGGCTTCAGCCTTGATTTCCATTATAGAACGAATCACCCGTCTCTCTTCATTACTGTAGGGTTACGGTAGAAACTTCAAAGAGGGTTTTGAACAATGAAAGGCCATATTTTGCCTCAAAAAGGAAACAAAACAGCCTGAAAACTTTTACACCAGGCTAATCAGAATTGCTGATTATAACTGTAAAGTTCCCAACTTATTATGATGCTTCATTGAAGTTATGCCAGGTGAAAGGTAGCGGCCTTTCTTTCAATGTTCCTAAAAAGTGCGATTACACCGTTTAGAAAGCTTCGTAATCTTGTGGAAAGCTGAGTATTGAACTCAGCGTCTATAAAAACCCTATTACACAAGTTTTCACAATTTTTTGAAAAATTTTGAAACAGCTTTTTCCTCATTGACACCATACGTTTCAAGTTTCTACCGTAATCCTACAGTAATGAAGAAAGATGGGTGATTCGTTCTATAATGGAAATCTAAGTTGAAGCCAGCTCTACAAAACGGTACCTGAAGCAAGGCAAAAGACTTCTT